GGCGGGAGCTTGCGAGGCTCGACATAAGTCAGGCCGGGCCAGATTTACACCCTTAGTGGGGACCCTATTTTTAGAGTTGTGCCATGTGGTCGTGGTGTTGGTTGAGATATCACATGGATGGGTCAGATTGTCAAGATGATTATGGTAAAGCCGAGATATGGTGCGGTAATATTGGAATCCGAGATATTTGAATGGAAGATAAGAGTCCTAGATAAAATGAGGCGATTAGTTCGGATAGGGATGAGGCTCTTGAAGAGTTCATCCATATCTAACTAAGAGTCCAAGATAAGTGTTGAGTTTGAGTCTTACGAAGTGAGACTTCTAGGGGACGAGGGCACTGCTGGCTATAAAAGTAGGTCGCCCCATGGGTCTAAGGTATGTTTTTTCTTGTAAAGTGTTTACTTAAGTTGATATCTTGTGAGATAAGTTTCTGACTTGATCGTCGATGTATCCTGGGTAGACAAGCCATCGTGGTATTCTTACCTTCTTGTGTGCATGTGCTTGGTTTAATTTATTCTGTCGTGTACTCCTCATATAAGTTTCTTGTTTGGTTATGAAGTCAGAAATCAACGCTCACAGACTACAACTACAATAAATTTTGTGCCAACACAATTTTTTTTGCCTACATATTTGTAATTAAAAAAAAAAATCAAAAAACAAAACAAAAGAAAACATGAAGATGTTGCAAGCTGTCATGTTGCATGCTGTCATGACCATCATAAGGATTTTTTTACTACAGTTTATAAATTTCAACTAACTTACAACAAGAAAAAGGGAATTTTTTTAAGGTCCCTAGTATTAAGATTTTATAACATAAAGGACATCAAATATTTTCATAATGTCTAAGGTCCCTCAACATCGATCTAGAGAAAATTCGATCCAGAGAATTTCTCTGGATTTCCAACGAATTTCTTTGATTTTCGCAAGACTTTCTCTGGGTTCAAACTAGAAAATTTCTCTGTCTTCCCAATCACAATATGCAATACGCAAATCAATCATCCAAATAAGTAACAACAACAACCACTATATATATATATATATATATCTCTAGAGATTTCTCTGGACTTCCCAAAGAATTAGAGAAATTCTTTGGATTCCAGTCTAGAGATTTTCTCTGGATTTCAGAGATTTTTTATAGATTTCAAGTGAACCATAAAGCATAAAGTTTGTTTGGTTGCCAAGAAAAATAGGCAAAAAATAGCTTAGCCTCCGTTTGGGAAGTGGGTTGGCTTTTTGGCTTTTTGGCTATTTTAGCCTGGGCTATTTTAGCCTGGTTTGAGAAGGACTTTTTGGCTTTTTGACTTTTTTGACTTTTTTTGTGAGAGAGGATTGTAATGATTATGGGTTTGATTTGATGTTTTGTTTTTTGTGGCTAAAATAGCCTATTTTGTTTTTTGTGGCTATTTTAGCCAAAAAAGCCTGGGCTTTTTCTTGCCAAACGGAGGCTTATTCAATATAAAAACACATAAAAAGTACAACGTAAAAGTCTAGAGAAATTTGTAATAATTATAATTTTCTTTGGATTGTAATAACAAGTTTTTAATTTTCTCTGGATTCAAATAAAAGTCTAGAGAAATTCACTTTCAAGATCACAAAAACAAAAACACATTAACATCAAAACACAAAAATACTCTTTCTCTTCACTTTACCAAAAAAAAGAGAAAGAAAGTGAGAGGAAAAATCTATGGGCATGGAGTTCTGTGATTCCATCATCAACATCATCATCATCATCATATTCTTCTGCAATGCTTGTAGGACTAAAATCAAACTCAAATAGAGATTTAGTTTCAGCAAAGGAGGAGCATTTAGATTCAATATCATCATCATATGAGTATTCTTTACCGCTTTTCTCCTCCATCGCTTCCTATTAAGCCTATTCACAAAACCCAACTACATTTAAGACCCTATATATATGTATATTGAACCTATCGATCATCATCATCATCGACGAAGGTCCAGATCATCTTCACCAGCCTCATCCAATGGCGGCAGGACATTAAGATCAAAATCCATCACCTTGTGAATCAACGATGAAGCGATGTCTCCATCTCCATCATTGACAACCGAAGACGACAAGTCGCAGTCACTGCGACAGTCGTTGGGCAGAACTGGCAACATTCGAGGGTACCGCCAAGAGGAAGACGGCGGAAGAACCAGGAGATTGGTTCGATGGGGGTAAAGAGAAGAATAGAGAGAGAGAGAGAGAGGGAGATGCTGGTTTGATTTGAGGGAATCAAATTTCTCTGTAATATATAGGTGTGGGGTTGAGAGATCTTAAACATAACAAAATAATATTGTGAACTTTATCCATTATTAAAAATGGGATAGAGATCTTAGACTAATTTTCTCCAAGAACAAGTCAAATAAAAAAGAGAAAAAAAAAAATACAAGAAGAAAAAGTAAGCATGTACGTTTTTTGTGGAATTAACATATCAGTGTTCAGTTTAAAAATGATTTTAAATACATGATAAAATTTATAAAATTAATTTGTAACATTATAAAATTTATCATTATTCTCAATTATTTTAAAAAAAAAATCTACTTTAATACAGATTGGCCCAATATCAAGCTTCAAAATTTAACATGCCTATGAAAATCTCAAATCTAGCCCACAAACACAATTTATATTAAAAAATTATAAAACAAATAATAATAAATTTATAGTTTAGTTAACGAAAACATGTAAAATTTATCTATTGAATCTTTTAAGTTTGGGGATTTTTTTTTTTTAAAGATTGTTAGTATTAAGATTTTATATGATAAAAGACATGCAATATTTTTATAATGGTTGGGGTCTCTCAATATTTTTCTAAAGAAATTTCGATCTAGGGAAATTTCAAAACATAGATAAGTTTTTGATCCATTTCTCCGTGATTTGAAATTTCTTTGATTTGATCAATTTCTTTAATTTTCCCTATGTTTTGAAATTGCTTTGGATTTTATTTTCTCTGATTTGAAATTTCTTTGTGATTTGCTCACAATTTTCTGTGTTTTGATTAATTTTTTCTAATTTGATCATAATTTTTTCTATATTTTAACCAAATCAAAGAAAACTATGTCTCTTTACAGAGAAATTTCAGGCAACCTTCAACACACACTTATACAAAAAGAAATTGAGAATTAAAAATATTCTTACTCAAATTTATGATTGAAAATATTGATGGGACTAAACAATATATCGAATTATCTGTAATCATGGGTCAGTGCTATAATATGTGATCTACTATTAATTATAGAATCTGATTCCAAACTTCTAAACACAAAACCCACTTTTAGATCAGCACAAAAAGGGAATATAACAGAGACCCATTTCACATATCTAGAAATAATTTTTACCCAACACTACAATTCAACTGAAATTTACAAACGCTGGCATATAAAGAGATATGCATGTATATAAACATGCGTCGGGTGTGATAACTCCGATAAACGTTCTGCACCTTCATTGCCGCACTCGACTTTCCATTCGCCAGTTCACCGTCCAATTCTTAAATTTGCAGTCATCATCGACTCAGCTCCGGCCATTGAAGAGTTGAGCATTTCGTAGCTCCATAATTCCGGAGATTAGAAGTCCAGGGGACCGAGGTTGAGGGAGTACGAAAATGGCAGTGGATTGGAGTTGAGATCGAAGTTACAGTTGGTAATCCTTTGAGTATCGACCTCCATTGGGAACACCACTCAATCCAACAAACAAACCCTAGAGAGAGAGAGAGAGAGGGTCATAGTGGCAGATAAGGCGTCAACGTGTGAGAGGGGGAGGACGAGGCTACGCGGGGGAGAGGAAAGAAGAGAGGAGAGAGAATAAGAGAGTGGGTGTGATATACTGTGATTGTATGAAGTATTTCAATTTGATTTTTATATAAAATATACAATTCCCAAATCGGCACCTCTATTCTACCCATGAACGATAAAGACGACTCACTACTAGAAAAGGAAGCTTTAGACACGGAAGTTTTTCACCCATTTTTTCATCTTCCTATCTCTCTGTCTCTGTCTCTCTTCTCTCTCTCTCTCTCTCACTCATCACTCTTCTCTGTCTGTCTGTCTGTCTCTCTCTTTCTCTCTGTGTCTCTGTTGATGAACAGTTGAACAAATATTTGAGACATAAAATTTTAATGAGCATAATTACAACAACTAAAAAAATTCAAAAGCATTAAGAAAAGCTATGAAGCATGGATACGGATGCGGCAATACAACAAAATCTAAAAAATAAGATATGGGTATGGCCAAAATACTTTAAAAAAATTATAATTTTTATATTATATTAAACATGAGCTCGATGAACAGTGATAAATCATTCTTTAGGAATTAGATATTAGCTTAAAAGTGGACAGTCAGTTTACTTTTTTTCAATGGATACATTTGTTTGATAAAATATTAGCTTAAGAGTGTATAGTCAGTTTTACTTTCTTTTCAATGGATATTTTAATTTGATAAAGTATGAAAAAAGTAGGGTACTCTTCATTGTCACTATTTCTTCTTCGGCACGGGAAAAAAATGTATATATATATATTGAAAAACAATCCTGTTTTTATTCAATAACAATACTCTAATTCTATGCAAAAAATTAATTTCATAATAGTTTGTGTTACATGACCTAGAGTGTCCAAAAGGAATCTGGCGCCTATGAAGCATGGACACTCCAAAATTAGTGCCGTGGTGGTTGTCCGACACGGGAACACGCCGGGGACACGTACGGACATGCCAGATGGCGTGTTCTTTTAATTTAATGATTTTTTTGTAGGGGACCGGCGGGGACACGCGTGTCCATATAGGGACACGGCATGGGACACGGCAGGGATATGGCATGGGACACGGCAGGGCTTTTTTTTCCTTTTTTTTTTTATAATCTTTTGCCTCTTAATTAGTATTTTTGTAAAAAATATTGTTGGATTTGAATGTTTTCCCCTTCTCGTCTTAGTTCTTGTTATCGTATGACTTTTTTGTGAATTTTTTGTTAATGGATGATCTATTAATTTGTTTTAAATGTAATGGTTATGTTATTCAATTAATGTTACTATGTTAGTGTTTGTTAATTTTAATTTAAAATGAATGTAATATGAATCTACATAACACATAAAAATATATAAAATAAATAAAATAAAATTTGCCGTGTCCCCCGCCATGTCCATGTCCGTATCCCCATTTTTTGGAAATTGCCGTGTCTCGTGTCCGTGTCCGTGTCCGTGCTTCATAGTCTGACGCTTCTCAAATTAACACAAGTATTGAATATGTTTAGAAAGTATTTGATACGTATCCTCGAGGTCTGTATCCGATATGGGTACGATGTGGATACGACTCCTTGTAGAAGTATCCGTGCTTCATAGAAGAAAACAACTATTATGACAATCATTTTTTGTGTTTTGTCCAATCTAGAAATTCTTCCAAAAACAATGAAAATGAAAATGAAAATGCAGAAGAATTTAAAGCCAAATGTACAAGGAAAGTACCTGTTCTTGATGTCAGCAGCCATGGCCATGAATGCCTGTTCCACATTAGTAGAATCTTTTGCACTTGTTTCCATGAATGGAATGCCGATTTCATCCGCAAATGCCTTTTAATAACAGAGAAG